GGTTGTGTGGTGTGTGTGTGTGTGTGTGGTGTGTGGTGTGGTGTGTGTGTGTGTGTGTGTGGTGTGTGTGTGTGTGTGTGGTGTGTGTGTGTGTGTGTGTGTGGTGTGTGGTGTGTGTGTGTGTGTGTGTGTGTGTGTTGTGTGTGTGTGTTGTGTGTGTGTGTGTGTGTGTGTGTGTGTGTGTGTGTGTGTGTGTTAGAGTAATTGTCTTGATACTTAGCAAAGTCGACGTCATTGTCGTTGCTAAGAGACGCTAATTGTATCCGAACGTCTGCAGTCCCTCCGGAGACTAAACTTCAACATTCAAAATACAACTGTTCCCCAACTATTAAAAACATCTGTTATATCTGTGTATATATATTTTCTGGCGTTCCAAATTGTGTCTAGTGTCCAAATATGTCTAGTGACTTTTCTAGAATCTACTAGATAGGATATTGACCAACAATACCCTTTATAAAATGTTTAAGTCTTTCAAATAATACATTGCCGAAGAGTAATGCTTCTATAGTTCTTACACTTCAGTTGATCACCCTTTTTATGCAACGGACATATTATTCCCTTCAGTCACTCTTCTGGTACCCATTCATTCTGCCATATAAGTACTATTAGTTTATGGATTGCTGCAAAAAATTGATCACCACCTTTTTTATACATTTACGAACAGATTTCATAGATTCCTGGGGCTTTCTTGTCTTTGAGTTTTAGGATCGCATTTGACACTTCTTCTCTGGTTGGGTCTTCACTGTGTAGTTGACGTTGTAAATATTGTTGATTTTTTATGTTGTAACCTCCTTCAATATCGTTTATATTTAGATGTGCGCTGAAATGTTGTTCCCATCTATTGAGAACTGAGTTTTTATCATGTAGAATTTCACTGCTAGTGTCTTTACAAATTTTCAATCGTGGTTTAGTTTTAGTTCGTGGATTCTCGACGGCTAGTATTTAAGGATTTGCAGTATTTTCTGACCAGGAGCCATCTAGGCGACTCTATACATGAAAATCTCCAGCAGACAACCAACATAACGTCATCATAAACCAAAGTGATTACCTTATCTGCAAACATAAAAGGGCTTTCAAGAATAGAAAAACAGATTCGACATACGCACTTCACCTTCTAGATCATAATCATTTTTTTAATGACAAATTTAAAATTCTTCACATTCAAAATAAAGGCCTTAAGCTATCTTTGTTAGAATCTATGGAAATCAACAAATTAAAAAACACAGATATAATTCTGAATGACCAACTTGAGACAAACAGTTCTCCCCTCCTCAACCTATTTCATTAGAGACTATAAATTTGTAAACCCAAGCCAAAATAGATCACTTGAGAAAGGCAATCAGCCGAAACAGCTGTAGTGATAATATTTAAAATAAATTTTGTGGAAGTTTGAAAACAAAGTTTTCAGTGTTTTATTGTTACATAAAATGAATTTCCATCAAGTAACGGTCGAATCCATCAATTATTTATCTGCAAACGATACCGAAATTCCATAAAATCACTAAAATCATACCACGGAGCTGATGTGAGATCAGATCACAACCCAGTTGTAGGAAAGTTTAGAATTAATCTAAAAAATCCTGTGGCTAAAACTAAAGTAGAGAGAATACAAGTATCCCGTTTGAAAGATCCATCAACAAAAGAGCAAGTCACACTAAAAATTAAAGAAGAGCTCACCAAAATAGAAATTATTCCTACTGAAGATGCGAACAGGAAATGGCATGTATTAAAAGATGCTCTTATACGCACATGTGAGACAACACTAACGCCTAAGCTGATCAAGAATAAAAATGAATGGGTAACCGATGAGATTCTGGATCTCATGAAAGCAAGAAGATCCTATAAAACTAAAGACAAAAACATGTATAATATTATACATACAGAAATAAGGAGAAAGTTCAGAGATGCATAGGAAAGATGGTATAGTGACAGATGCGAGGAGGTTGAACAGTTGGTGGAGAAACATGATAACTTAAACCTTCATAAAAAAATTAGGGAAATAACAGGCACTAATATTAAGAAAAAATCTTACTGAAAAAACATACTGCTGGATAAAAACCGCAAAATAATTACAGACGTCGGTAAAAGGCTTAAAAGATGGCAGGATTATATTCAAGAGCTATTTAAAGACGAACGGACTGATATAGTACTAGAGCAGGAAAAGTTCGACAAAGGCCCAGACATAACAGAAGATGAGGTTTGAGGTGATAAAGCGAACAAAGAATAACAAGGCAACAGGTCCTGACGATATAGCTGTAGACATAATACGGTTAATAGAAGAACAGTAAATTGGAATATTGGTCGACTTATTCAATACAATATACAGTGCAGGAATCATTCCCAGAGATTGGCTGGTGTCAACATTCGTAACACTACCAAAAAAAACCAAATGCAAAAGAATGCCAAGACCACCGGATAATAAGTTTAATGAGTCATACGCTCAAAATATTTTTAAAAATTATACACCGGAGAATACACAATAAACTTGAGCAGGACATAAGTGACACACAATTTGGATTTAGAAATGCACTGGGAACGAGAGAAGCCCTGTTCACTGTGAATGTACTTGTTCAAAGGTGCATGGATGTTAATTAGCCAGTATATATGTGTTTCTTGGATTACAACAAAGCCTTCGATAAAGTCAGACATAACAGTCTTATCGAATTACTTGAAAAGAAAAACTTAGATATGAGAGGAATCAGGATCATTAGCGCTATCTATTATAATCAGATCTCTGTGGTAAAAGAGAACAACGTCTTTTCAAATGAAATACAGATTGGGAGGGGAATCAGGTAGGGCTGTGTCCTGTCTCCTACTTTGTTTAATTTGTATTCAGAGGAAATAATCCAGGAAGCACTAGAAGAACTAACTATGGGAATAAAAATAAATGGCCGACCAATCAATAATATACGGTTTGCCGACAACACTATTTTATTAGTGGAATGTCTTGAGGATTTACAACAAATGGTTGACAGAGTGGTAGAAGTCAGTGAAGAAAACGGACTGTCCCTAAACACAAAAAAGACATAATTTATGGTAATTAGAAAAGCCCAGCAGCACCAAGAAAACATAACAATACATGGAGAACAAATTAAAAAAGTTGAAAAATATAAATATCTGGATACAATAATTAATGAAAATAATAATTACACAGAAGAAATTAGGGCAAGAATAGGACAGGCAAGAAATTCTTTCAACAAACTGAAAAAAGTAGGTACTCTGCAGCAGGGACATTTCAATTTCTTTAAAGATAAGACTTCTGAGATGCTACGTGTTCTCCGTATTATTTTATGGGTTGGAAGCTTGGACTTTAAAGAAAGATGTTTCGGACAGATTGGAAGCCTTCGAGTTATGGGTCTACAGAAGGCTATTAAGAATAAGTTGGGTAGATACAGTCACGAATGTCGAGGTGTTAAGAAGAATGGGAAAAGATAAAGAGGTCTTAAATACAGTTAAAGTCAGAAAACTGCAATATCTGGGACATGTTATGAGGGTGAGCGTTATTACTTATTGCAATTAATAATGCAAGGAAGAATACAGGGTAGAAGGAGTCGTGGAAGAAGACGCATATCCTGGTTGAATAATTTGAGAGCTTGGTTTAACTGCACTTCTGCTGACCTCGTTAGAGCAGCGGCGTCGAAGGTGCAAATTGCCATGATGGTTGCCAACCTTCTTAGAGGAGATGGCACGTGAAGAAGAAGAAGTATTTTCTCGTTTCATTTTTATGGAATAAACTTTTTATCTCACTGAGAGTGTTATGTTCGTATTCCCTCTTCTTACATCGATAGATACGTTTTTCCTCTCTTCTAAGACGTCTATACTCTTCTCTTTTTCTCCGTGTACAACCTGCGTCAACGATTTTTTGATGCGCTACGTTCTTTCTATTTGTGGCCAATTCGCACTTAAATCAATAATTTCTTTTTTCCTACTTGGTTTTCTCAATATTTCAACGGATTTCTGTAATACAATATCTCTTATATTTACCCATAGTTGGTTAATAGCTTCTTCTAAGTTTTTGCCCTTATTTGGTCTTCTATTTGCTGTCTGTATACATTTTCAATGTCGGGATCTTTTAGTTTATTAATGTCGATTTCTTTCTTTTTCTCCCGATCTCCTTTTTTAAATTGGATATTCTTTCTTTAAACCGTGCTTTAAATAGATAATGATCACTGTCTATGTTTGCTCCACTAAAAGACCTAACGCCTAATAAGTTAGAGCACTATCTTGCATCGATGATTAGGTATATAATCTATTTGGGTAATCGTTTCATTATCAGGATATTTCCAAGTTTTCTTATATATATATGTTTATATATAAAAAATAAAAAAAATTTAGTTGTATTAACAAAAATATATACAAAAATATATGTGAAATATATTTAAAAAAAAGTTTAGTGTAATAAAGTATGCAAAATGCAATTTTGTCTACATCCAGTAACGGTAAATTTGCTAAAAAACTAAATGTTTGTGTTACGAATTGTATCGTTATGAATAGGTATAGTTGCGAACTTTCGATGTTATAAAGTGTCGCGATTATAAATTGACGGCGTTACGAAGTGTCGGTTAAGACATGATACTATGACTATAAGATAAGATATTGCGCATGTTTTTGTGACGTCATTGGAGACTTGCACGTTCGAAATGTCAGTTTTTGTATATATCAATAAATAATCTTTAATAAATAGTTTGAAGATATCCTTATGTGTACGATTATTGTAATTATTAAACCTCTTAACTTATTTTCTTCTAGTAATTTCATCACAGAATGCATACAAATCTCATTTAACTTTAACAAGAATTCAAATTCTAGTCTCCAATGACGGCATGCGCGAACCCGACCGATTTTGAGCTACGGGAAGAACCTATCTTGTTATTCATAGTATCATGGGTTAAGATACAAGAGTTAATTGTAAAACACCTTGTATTCTTCATATATAAAAATATTATGGTTCCCAATCATCAGACACCTGTTTTTTAATGTAAACAATATTATAATTTTAGACTCCTGCAAAGAATCTGCTTCAGACTGATCCAACGCACATTAAAAAATATATAATTATCAACTCTACCACCAACTCTCCTGATAAACGAACACCATTCCAAGCAAATTTTGTTGTGGCTTTTTCAATAAATTTTAAGGTGGTGTTATTAGGATCCTTATTATTTTGTACAATGTGGCCTAAAAAGCTGCCACCACCAGAGAGGCGGTTAAAATTGTGTCTAACTGCTTTGTGTGTTTTATTTTCTATAGTTACATTGTTAACGCAGATTAATACTGAAGAAGGTAAGTCATTATAATTTAAATACAAGTATTTACATTTCACTTTCACGTCTCTAAATTAACATTTCGAAATACATTTGTAACAGTATATTAAAATATATTTAGTGTAATAAATAACCTATATACCTATGATATAATAATAGATCTATTATTAAGTGACTATAGAACGTTTCACGTTAAGAAAATAACATTGCGGAGATAGGGCCATGCATTTCTTATGGATGACAGAAGCGCAGTGATGCTACGAGAAACACAAGCACGATTCAGGGTTGTATTATTTGTATTTTCAATTCCACAGACATGAATTAAAGTTAATGTTTTTTAACGTAATTGAACAAAAATGACCGTTCGAAACAAGAGATCAAAAGTAGGGAAATGATTTTAATTAAATAAATCTTCTTCTTCTTTTGGCATTATAACCCTGGATGGGTCTTTGCCTGTCTGGTTATGTCCTGTCATTCAGATCTCTCTTGTGCCCTTCTTCTCGTTCTGGGCCTTCCTTTTTTTCGCCTTCCTATGGGCTTCCATTGTAACATTTTCTTTGTTGTTTTTGCATCGTTTTGTCTCTGCACATGTCCTAGCCATGACAGTCTTTGACTTTTCACAAATCTTACAATGTCATAACCTTCATTTAACTCATTAACCTCGTCGTTTCTCCTGATTTTCCATGTGCCATCTTCCTCTTGTACCAAGCCATATACTTTCCTCAGTATTTTTCTCTCGAATGTCCTGAGTTGGGCTTCATGTTTCTTCGTCATTACCCAAGTTTCACATCCATAGTTTACTACGGGTCTAATCAGTGTTCTGTATATAGTCATTTTGGTTCTTTTTGGTTCTTTTGTCTAATAATTTCGATGTCATAATAATTAAATAAATAGTATTTACAAAAGATAATTTTATTTTATATTATTTTAATTATAGTAACCACAGTTTATTTATTTTTCGGCGAGAATACCATATGCCATGAATCATGGAAATCAGTAGAAAATATTTCTTAGCTAAATCATGCATTTTGCCGAGTATTAAAGATAAGCAATTAAACGGACCGCTTTGCATATATCTAATTACTAATTGCACCTTAAAATAATACACTGTGCGCATGTTAGCCATTTTATGTCGTTCTATGACTACATAATGATAATAAGGCTTTGCGGTTCTTTAGTAGTTACCTCCTATGTCAATATACCTACAATTAAAGTTTGTAATTATATAAATAGAAAATATATGTAATGATACTTTTTATAATTGCCAATAAATGTTAAGCTAAACCTACCCTAAAAACTTTTTACCATCACCTTCTATTTTCTGATGTATACACATTTCATCAACTATCAAAGCACAGATACATGATTTTCCTTTATCTTTAAGTTCAACTACTTTTTGTTTTAATTCCTTCACTGCTTCTTTTTGAAAACCAGGCTCACAAGCTACTACCTGATAAAACTTTTAAAGAGTTTGTGAATGAGACAACATATTAGGAAAAGTTTTTCTGACATAAAAGTAAGCTTTTGGCGAATAGAAATGAAGGGTAAGAGCAAAGCTTTTTAATTTAGGTGGATATGTTTTAGTACTCTCCGATTTAAGCAGCTGTTTAAAAATAGTTTTTGCAGAAGCATGCAACCTATCCTAATAAAATAAAAAGTAATACTTTAAACCTACAACTACACTAACTACAAACAATATAAAATAATAAACTGCTTATGCATACCAAAATGTATTAATTTTGCTTACCGAAGGATTCTAGTAAGGATTTTAAGGTATTCACTTTTTTAACAAGCCTTCTATTTTGTTGTTGCAACATTTTGATTTGTTTTTTTTTTAATTAATTTGTTTACTACCACTTTATATTCCTGATCTCTGTTAGATGATTCTTGTTTAACAAAGTCAAAAAGATAATGTCTTCGCTTTTTTAAGGAACTTTAAGTAGTTTCCTCTAGAATTTCTACTGGTGTCTTAATGGATTCACTCGTCGTTATATTTATATTTTCACTTTTAGAGCCTGTTTTGTCTGAGACAGTTTCTCTTTTTACCGAAAATTTTCCAGTTTTACCTTGCTTAATTAAATAACTTGGAAAATTGAAAATGTTGGATACATCAACTTTTTTGAGTTTTTTTTTAACTCCATTCGCTCGTAATAAACGGATATACTGTAAGATTCTTGGAACAAATTTTCTGAACTCTTCGTTGGTTTAAAATTTTTACGGCGCATCGCTATAATCCACTTTTTTGCATTGATGAATCTTTAGGAAATCTAAAACAATTTATTTGCTTTATCCCCTCAGTTTTTAACGTAAACGTAATTATAAAATGAAAATAATATATATATATATATATATATATATATATATATATATGTAATATCATATACACTGTGTGTAAGCGAAATGGAATAAATAAGCTAATAAATAAATGAGGGAGTATTCCAAAAACGGTCGAACACGTCAAATAGTATTGGCGACGTGCAAGTACTTGGATGTGATACGAGAAACGATCATGCGCGAGTAGCGGAGAAATCTTGCATTTTTTACTGCAAATTTCATAGATTTCATAAATTCATATTGTCAATTGTCATATTTCATATTCGTTTGTTTATTTACACCTTCTGCCACTGAAGAAAATGGTATTTAGGTTCAAGTTTTTCTGAAGATGCATTAAGATATATTCGCTGTCCAAAAGTTTACAGGGAAAGAATTAATTGTTCAAACCAATATGATTATGTCATGGGCTTAACCTGCTAATTTATACATTTATGCATTAGCATTATTTATGGTAATTTATTTTTCTTAATTCTTCCACATACTGGTTTTTGTCTATGTCCACATAATTCTTCCATTCTTTGTTGACATTTGCCACTACTAAAGCTTTTCCATTTGACTCAGTGCTTGGTTGAAAAGTTATTTGGTGATTTACTTTCTCAAATCCAGTTTTTATTATTGCATCCATATTAACAGTAATGCTGTAATTTAATAATATATTTATTTGTATTTACACTATATACAACGTTTACCTTTTAATAACATACCGACATAACCTCAATCTTACTTTTTCTTCTTATTCTTTTTTGGGGCTACGTCCTTGACAGTTATCCAGCAACCTCGATCTAACATGAAAGCGCAGTAAATTTTGCTTATTTACGACACCAGGTGTCGCTGTTCCAAACTTGCACGGTCCCAATAGTTGCGTATTTTTTTCCATAAAAACTTTTTATACCGGGTGTATCAGATAACGGTGGCCAATACCAACTTGCTTATTTTAAATAGAATATACCATGTATATTAATTAATTTTTAGATTCCTCAAATCGTTTTAGATATTTTTTGAATACAAAGCCCTATACCTATCTTTGATTGTTTCGGTAATATTAAGTAAAATGCAAAAATTCACATTTAAAAAAGAAAATTATTTATTTGTCGAAAGTCGCTACCACCGTCTTAATACTTTTTGCCCATTCAGGTTTTAGTAATGATAAAATAAACAAAAACTATTTAAGCATTTCTTTTTATTGATATGTTAAAAAAAAAAAAAACAAAAAAATGCTTACTTTGGTTTAAAACGACAATGTTTTATTGTTCTATGACATAAGTAGTTGTCAGTGCTATACTCGTTTGAATTTCATTAACCGCAAGCCAGAAGAATGGTTGATTTAACATAAATTCACAAAATTACAATTCAACAGATGATTGGTTATGGAGATAAAACACGGACGCAAAAGGAGGTAGTTAGTTTATTTCACGAAGCATTTCCTGATTTGCCGCACATATCTGAAGGGACAATTAGTAAAATAGAGAAACAATTCCACGAGCTGGGCCATGTTAGGAAGTTAAAAAAGAAGCTGCCAATGCAATAAGTGAGGATACCAAATTGGCTGTTATGCTTAAGTTTGAGGAACACCCACATACATCTGTTCGAAAAGCAGCCCCAGTACTCGATATTAGCTATTCATCGGTTATTCGAATATTACAAGAAAACAAAATACATCCCTATAAAATTAAACACACTCAGAAGCTCATGAAAGATGAGTTTGACAGGAGAACGTATTTTTGTGAACAAATGATGGCGATGTTAGACAGCAATGTGATCCAATTAGAACATGTTTTGTTTTCTGATGAGTGTGCCTTTACTCTTCACGGTCATGCTAATGGCAGAATTGTCGCTATTGGTCCAACTGAGAAGGTTAACGTGTGTGCAAGAATTATTGATGATCAGATCATAGGTCCGTTTTTCATAGATGGCAATTTGAATGGCGACAATTATTTAGCATTGCCCCAAAATAATGTAGTGCCAAGGTTGGCCAACTTGTATCCTGATTCAGGAAACCCACAAGTTCCAGCAAATTTGATATGGTTTTAACAAGATGGAGCACCACCCCACTACCAAATCCATGTGTCTGGCAGTACCTCAACCGAATATTCCCAAATCGATGGATAGGAAGACGAGGATCGATGGAATGGCCACTACGATCCCCCGATTTGACGCCATTAGACATTTCTTATGGGGATATGTGAAAAGTATTGTATACAAAACTGAACTAACTGACTTAGCTGACTTAGGAAGAGGAATAACGCTTGCGATTAGATCGATCACATGTGAAATGTTGAGTAAGGTGAGCAGAAATTTCTATTTATGGTTAGGGTATTGCCAAGAGGTTCGTGGGGAGCATTTTGAACATCTTCTACATTGACATTATTGTTTAGATTTGTATTGTTTAGAAGTTTTTGAATATGTGGTAGCCAATTTCGGCAAATAGATAATTTTCTTTTCTAAATGTGAATTTTTGCATTTTACTTAATATTTCCAAAACAGTCAAAGACAGGTATAGGGATATGTATTTAAAAAATGTCTAAAATAATCTAAGGAATCTGAAAATTAATTAATATACAGTATGTTCTATTTAAAATAAGCTAGTTGGTATTGGTCACCTTTATCTGATACACCCCGTATAAAAAATTTTATGGAATAAAATGCGCAAATATAAATACTAATAATCGACTTTTTCGACCGCCTTTTCGAATACTACCTCATTTATTTACTAGCTAATTTATTCCATTTGGCTGACACACAGTGTATACGTATATATTTTAAACACTTTGGAAGAGAAAAGGAAATTAATAGGTGCTAAATTTCTGGTAGGTTTTCCAAGTTTAATTTATCCATTTACGTACCTAAAAAAATAATGTATTGAAAAAGTTTTAAATTGGAACTTAATATTTATAAAAATTTGCCAAAACCGGTAAATACTTCTAGTTACTAACGTTTTCTGCCAAATACTGACGTCACGAATAGCTGCGCAGAGCAATTTATATTGGCTTCACTCTTCGAAACAAGGGTTTATCATACGGCGCAAGCTTTGATGGTCGAAGGTTGGGATGGTCAGATGAGTTGCATGTGGTTGGCGCAAATGAATAAAGGTGTAAATGTCACACGAATTCCGTGCGTGCGTAGTGGGTGAATAATATTAACAGTTATTGTTTTGGCATGCACATACACATCATTATCTACGTCAGAGATCGAAGTTGACATAGTTGCCAAAGTATAACAAAATCCTGACTCCATTTTAAATCAAATAGATCACATAATTATTGCAAAAGTATTACCATCTCTTTACAACGACTATTTAAATTCTTACGTGACATTTTTCAACACCGTGTCAACTCCGCAACTGTTAAATAAATGTTATCAATTTATGCCAAAGTTTCACCTTTATTCGATTACAGTTACAGTATGTTCCGAACAAATGTTATTCATAAAAACGCTTTATAATGCATTTGTACCAATTAAATGAAACATATTATTGTGTATTTCTTTAAGTTAACATTAATAGAAATTTTTAAATATGTAGTGGCTGTAATGCCAGTGTACTCGGCAAAGTGATTTTAAAAAAGAACACACCTATCACCTAAATATTTCGTGTTGGTATCATGTGGCGTCACGGGCTATGACGCTGATGACGTGCATCGGTATGTAAATTAGATGAAGTGTACATAGATAGGCACGTGGTACGTTATTTTGTGTTTTTTGTTTGTGATAATAATGTCCAAGTAAGAAAAAAGAGCCCATGGTTCAGTATATTGAGCTTTATAAATCTTTTTTGGTCTTTGAAAAGTTAAATCGAAATAGTACAGCAAGAGAAACGCAAAGTCTCAGGCGTATGGTATTTTGGTTGAAAAAATGCACACAGTGGAATAGACTGCAAGGTGACAACGATGTATATGTACCACATTTGTGGTACTTTGAGTATAATTACAATTATAATGTAAATATACAATTAAAATTTAAAAATGTGTTAAATCTTTTTAAATTTTTATAATTAAATTATTTTTTTAGAGCAAACGCTGTTTTTCGTTGGAGCTATGATTTTCGCAACATTTTTGAACTGTAAGTAATATTCTAAGTAATCTTAGTATAATAAAAATAAATATTTAATACCGGTGAAAGAATATCAGTTACGAAATGTTTCCTTCGTATACTTCCTTATAAATAAAATGTGTATTCACCATGAAAGTGCTAAGAATAGTAGTAGCATTTTTATTGACCCGTTCTATATAAGGTTTTAATTCACATATTTCAAAGTCCATTCTGTATAAGCTTTTAATTCGACGTCTTACTTTTTTTTCGGACGAATATAAAAGTTTGTTATGAATATTCAAAGTTCATCTCAAATCTTAAAAAAAATCACTTTAGTATCTCTTCGAATAGAATAATTAAAATGTGAAAGCCTATTTTACTCAACTCAAGTTACCTTGGGTAATCGAAACTGCCGCTGAGAGAATTCAAAGTGTGTGTGGAATTTGGGAGATCACAAACTAATGCGGCTGAGATCCAAGGCTGTATAAATTAGATCTCAGAGAGGAATTTTGCAATCCATTCCCGAACGAATAAATTTTATAGAGATCACGTAGCGCTCCGCTAGTGAGGCGGTAGCGGTTTTTCGTCCATATAGGAGATGTTTGAGCATTTTTGGAGATCAAGCATATCTTTGGCAGTAGTGTTGTTTTTTAATAGTATGCAGTCGATCAAATAAGACGAGGTAAACCAAAATATGAAGTGGAACTAGTGAAAACGAAACGAGAAGTGAAGATTAAGTTAGTGCAGAGTGAGCTATCTTTAATTGCCGTGGGTAGAGCTAAATAAGCCCACAAGTCACTGTAGATTTTTTCGTTTTTTTTATTAATCCTGTAACAGCAGATTCAATAACTATGCTGAACATTTCAATGATGGTGGTTTATGCCAAAGGAAAAACACGTTACCATTTATATTTTTAATTAACACTACATGTACCTAGTAAAGTGCAGTGTGATAATGTTTTTTTGAATGGGGTATATCCCTTAAAGTTTTTTTGCATGATGAATAACCATTGTTTTTTATATACAAATACATAATTTGTATGTAGATTGTAATAATTGAAATATTCTCCAACTACATATATTATGATACAATAATGACCCAGTTTTTAGGTCTTTAGTATATCATTATATGAGATTTAATTTCTTCTTCTTATCCTTTCGAAGGTGGGCGATCCAAATGGAAATTTTAGCTTTTAGCTTTTAAGATTTTTGTGGAAGAGCGGTCAAACCATCTTCTCAGGTCCTTCAGCCACGAGTTCTGGCGTCTTCCGAATTCTGAGCTCTATACTTAGGTCGGATCTTGTAAAAAATTTCATTATGTTCATGAGCGTTTTCCTCGTTTGTTCGACTCTTGATAGGATTGATTTTCTTTTTTTGGGCTACGTAGACTATTTAAATAAGTAAGATAAGGAAAACATTTGTGAAATAAGCATTTGAGTTGTAACAACGTCCGAGTTTATATTTCTCAATTTAAATAGTCTTATAATTTTTTGGTGTGGTAAAAAATGTACTGAATTTTACTGAGTTCTATTAACTTTTCTAATGTAAGCTAAATAAGAAATATGCAATTAAAAGCAATTTAATCCCTTTAGGTTTCACAGGTTTGGCGTTGGCTAGCTTGTATGAATTAATAACAAAATTTCCGTCTAGTTATTATGCCTCGCTTCAGTCAGGTAACAATATATGTGGAATCTTGTCAGCTGTTTTACAAATAATCCTTCTTAGTTTTCGGCTAAGACCAAATGAAACTGGTGTAATTCAATTCTCCGTTGGCTGCTTGATCCTGATTTTTACTACAATTTACTATTTTGTCGTATTCAAGAATTCAAAATATTTTATATACAGGTAAGAATAATTTATTTAGAAATATTATCTTTTATAAATAACGTAAAATTATTTAGGATAAGCTACTTAACACGGTTATTTGAAAATATGGATACTATGTGTAACGGTTATAAAAATCAATCTTAAGAAAATTCAATATATGATATTCAGTAAGACTTATAATGCAACTCAAACATATTTATGTAAACAGGTTTAGATTAAAAAAAAAATTTACCAAAATATAAAATTAAAATATATATACCTATAAATAAAAAGTAGAAGGTAAGCCACTTGAGTGCAGTTTGACCTATGACTTCCGCGGCTTAAACCAAACCCGCTTTACCCATGTGTATTAGTTTGCGAAATATGATTATATGTAAGTCATGCATTCAATTTCGGGGGCTAATGTATTCGATTTTTATATCAATCAAAAAAGAGCAGCACTAATACGGCCGCATTTCCCATGTAATCGGATTTAAATCAGACCAATACCAACGGACATACAATGTAATGCCCTTTTGGCAATTGCGCCATATTTATTTTTTCTGTTGTGATATGAGAAAATTATATTATAATTATATATTATAAGAAATTATTATATCGAAATTGCAAAAAAATTGATAGAGTAAAAATATGGAAATGATACGTCAGATATGGAAAGCAACGGAAATTATTTTGTCCATAAGAAGAAAATATTCGGGCCAAAATATAAGCAAACAATAATTCATACTACTGCACAATATATTAAGGGAAAAAATGAAACAAAAAAAAATCGGAATGTAGAACACCATCAAGGATGGAAATTTTGAGGGATTCTTTAAATATACCAGAAATAAGATCTTACGATCAGCCATGAAGGAGAGTGAAACAGTGTCGCACCTGGAATATTCCCGTGGGAGTTTTGGTTGGGCATTGAATTTTTTTATGCTACCTCCTTTTTGAGTCTTTAAAATTTGTAAGTAACAGTGTCGAAATTATGGTTTAACCACCAAATCCCCCCTGGGTGCTCAACTGGAGTAAAACAACCTTGATCATTTCTAATATCCAATGGGAACATAAAGAAAAATAAAATATAACCCATTTTAACTCCTAAACAAGCATAAGTATTGCCAACCTTGACTTGCGCATCATAATTATTGCGCACCTTTACACCGCTTAAACCCAAATAGCGAGTCGAGTCGAGTCATCAGCGAAAAAATATGGAATTACTGTGAAATTTTGTTACGCTCGACTGATTTTCATAAAAATTTGGGTTTAAGCTCTATTTATCGTTTACTTTAAAATCCTTAATATGCCCGGATGCTCTTTTCATTTTTTAGGTATGATAACTACCCCTTACTGAAAAAAAATTCAAAACCGTAGATTTTAGCATGTAATTAATTTAAATAATGTTTGAATGTGTTATTTGCGAATCTCTTCATATTCTTATATAATTAAACAATAAGATTCAACCACCGTGGGTAATTCCCTGAGGATAGTAATTTTTAAAATAATTTTAAAAATGTTTATCATAACATAAAATTATTTAAAAGTAGTCATATTAAATTCAAATTAGTGTACTTCCATCATCCAGTCTGCTGCATCCAAAGTTGAACATAGACCTTCCATAATTTCTTACAGTTCTGTCGGTCTTGAGCTTCTTGCAGCCAATTCCCAGCAATTCTTTTGAAGTCGTCTATCTAGCGTGAAGGTGGTCTTACTCTGCTTCTTCTATCAGCTCGTGTTCTCCACACAGTAATTTTTTGGGTCTAACGCCCGTCATTCATTCTGGCCACAAGAGTCGCCCAGTTCCACTTCAGCCATGCTATCTGCTTTATAACATCATTCATTCATCATTAGCCTCTGTCAATCCACTGCTGGACATAGACCTCCCCTGTTTGTCTTCAAAGTGTTCTATCTTGTGCTTGCTATATCCAGTTTTTTGTTGTCTTTCGTAAGTCGTCTTGCCATCGTGTTGGTGGTCTTCCTCTGCTACATTTATCGGGTCTTGGTTTCCATTCAACTAGTTTTCGAGTCCATCTTTCATCCTTGATTCTAGCAACGTATCCAGCCCATTTCCATCTTAAGTCACAGCTTCTTTCAATGACGTCTACGACTTTGGTCTTAGCTCGTAGATCTTCGTTTCTAATCCTGTCTCGCAGAGTGGCCCCTATCATTGATCGCTCCATTATTCTCTGCGCTACTCTTAGTTTTTGTGCGTTTTTCTTTACTCTTGCGTAGCACGCATTGGTTTAAAACTTTTTTCTTCATATTAGTTGGGATGTCACTCTTAAACGTTCCTAAGAGCTACGTATGCTGCCGATCCTTGTATATTATTCTTCTGGATACTTCGGTTGATTGATTGTCCTTACTTATCTTAATTTCGTAATATATATATATATATATATATATATATATATATATATATATTGTCTACCAGTTTTATTTCTTCATTTTGTATTTCAAGGTGTTTACTTGGTACTAAGTTCGTCATATATTTTGTTTGTGGTATATTCATTTTTAAACCTATTTTATGACAGGCTGTACTAAGTCGTTTCAACATTTTCTTTGTTTGTCCCAAATCGTCTGAAATCAGGACTATATCGTCTGCGTAGTTTAGGTGGTGTAGCATCTCCCCGTTCACATTTATTCCTTTGTCCGTTTGATATCCTTTGATCCTTTGATATGTAGTAGGTGACAACGTATCACCTTGTCGGATACCTCTTTGGATTTTTATTGTTGCTGTTAGCGTGTTGTTGTATCGAGCTTATCCCATTTTTATATATATTACATATTAGCCATCAATGCGGCTCTCGTTTAGTGCTTCTATAACACTGTCGAGTTCTACTGAGTCGAATGCTTTGTGGAAATCTACGAATGTTAAAACTAAGGGCTTGTTATGTTCTACAGATTTTTCTATGAGTTGTTTTATTGTTTGGAGATGATCGTTGGTTCCGAAGTTTACTGTAAATCCAGCGTGTTCTCTACTTTGATATAGGTCTAATTTTTTGTCTAATCTTGTGGTGATTACTCTCGTAAAAAATTTATAAAGATGGTTGAACAGACTGATTAGTCGATAACTTTCCAGATCAGTTTTTTCTCCTTTTTTGTACAGAAGAATTGTTTTGGCTCTATTCCATTCAGATGGTATGGATTTCTTTTTTTTCTTCTTACCGCCATTCTTAACAGTCTTGATCACAATTCGATCGTCTTCTGGTGATTTA